GAACACAAATGTGGTGGCTTCTACGCATGTGAGACCGAAATGTTTTGCAGTATTTTGCATGCAAACGATTCCCAAAACAGATGCAGCCTAGGAAGTGTGGCACTGGGTCAGCCTCTGCATGATCTGTCCACCCCAAGTCCTCGCCCGGTGCCGAGTGTGTCTCCCACAAGTGCAGTCAAGCAAACCCCACCAAGCAAAAAAGAGTTGCTTCAAGAGTTGCTCAAGCAACGGGACCGGCTCGAAGCATTGGTGAAGCACAAGCATCAACGAGCTGGGATTTCCGGGTGCCCCTTGCATGCAGCATGGTCGGTTTGTGATTGCATGATATTGCATGCTGTGCAGTACCACTGCTTCTGTTCGTCTGGATGCACAGCACCTGATGTAAGGTTCTGTGGAGTCCCAAGAGACTTTGCCGATGGACAATGGTCTTGCTGAGGTTGCAGCTGCAGCCATGACAGCAGAGATTAAGATGAAGGAGCTGCAGGCTTTGAAAGCTGCTCGTGATGAGGAGAAAGTGGCTTTGGCAAAGGGCCCGAGCCCCCTTCGGAAGTGCAAGCGCAAGGATATTGATACAAAGGGAACCAGTTCCTCGCAGGGCACAGCTGACAGTGCCCACAGTTTGAAGGTTGCCAGGTTTGAGGCCCAAAACAAGCAGCAGTACAATCCGCCAACCGTCGAGCGCAAACCATCACCGAAGCAGAATGACCCAAGCAATGCACTGGTTCAGCCACTCGACAAGCCAATCAAGAAAGAGCCGAGAACAGAGCCATTCAACATGCCAATCAAGAGAGAGCCGAGGGAGGAGCCAATCAGCAAGCCAATCAAGAAACAGCCAGTGGAGGAGCCAATCAATAAGCCGATCAAGAAAGAGCCATTGGAGGAGCCAATCAGCACACCAATCAAGAAAGAGCCGTTGGAGGAGCCAGTCAGCACACCGATCAAGAGAGAGCCACTGGAGGAGCCAGTCAACCAGCCGATCGAGAGAGAGCCAGCAGACAGAGTGACATCAGTGAGACCAGTCCATAGTGGGGATGTTGAGGCCAAGCCGTTGCAGAATGAGCCCGATTGTGGTCTGGACAAGCCTGCAAGTCCAGGTCGTCGATTAGTCGAGCATGAGGAGGCCTCAGCAGGCCACCCAGAGTCTGGTGGAGGACCTGAGCCGGAGAAGCCGGCTTTGCTGAGCCGGGCTAAAGTCATGTCTCCAGCAGAGCAGTCAGTTCAGGTGTTCGGGTGCAAGCCCAAGCGTGGCAAAGGAGCAGGAAAAAAGGCAAAGGAGGATGATAACGAGGAGCCACTTGGTGAGGTTTTGAAGGAAAAGCCCAAGAAGCGTGGCCCAGGACGTCCTAAAGGTAGTGGCACAAGCAAGAAGAGCACAGGTGAAGGAAGTCCAGAGCCAAAGGAAAAGGCCCCCAAACCCAAGGCCAAAGCTAAAGCCAAGGCCAAGGCTAAGGCAAAGGCCGTGGCAAAAGGGAAGGCGAAGCCCAAGGCAATGGCCACAAGTCCAGCGGGAAAGCGCAAAAGGAAGGATGAGGCTTCTGCTAGCCAGGACACTCAGTATTATGAGACGGAAAGTCCCAGACAAACCAAGACCAAGAAAGCCATGAAGATTGATGACAAGAAGAGCAAGGAGGAGGAGAAGAAAAAAATGAAATCCCGTAAGAGCTGTGCATACCACAAGACCAAAGCTATGAAAATCAAGGAAGGGCTTCCAGAGGAGGAGGCAATCCGTTTGGCCAAGATCGTTACCTACCAGCAGTTTTCGCATGTCCTTGTGCACGTTTGTGTGTGTGTGTGTGTGTGTGTGTGTGTGTGTGTGTGTTCTATGTGTGGGTGTGTGTTCATGTCCATCCTGTCTATTCTGCCCAGGCTTATGCTGAGCAAGACTAGCATCTCTGGATTTACAGAAGCTGATGGGGATACTGTGCACTTGACACACACGTTGTCAAGCTATTTGTGTGAACTTCCTTGGGAGCATCCACTTAGAAAGGGGTCATGTGGGTCACCCTGAGGCAAAGCCTATGCACTTTGATGCACCAAAAATCAGAGAGACTGTCGCCTGCTCGTGACAAAGATCCGGTAGTCGATTCGATGCATGCGTGCACTTTCAGAGCTATGCTGAATCCTTATAAACCCAAACACTCTAGTTTGCTAGCGCTAACTGCCAGGTGTCTTTTACATGGTCTTTGCCGTCGCTGGAAAGCAGTGCGACGTTTGAGGCCACTATCATCCCGAAGTGCTTTCACCTTGCAACCTGACTAACCTTTCCCAGCCAGGAGCTTCGACCGGGACATTGTCATCGTGGGCAAGCAAAATGATCACCGAGGCCACCAAATACGCTAGGAGCGATCTTGAAACTTCGAAGGCTTTATGGCTTGTAGGGGCTATCATGAGCATATAGACACAACTGACATACATTCATGCAAACACACATATACAGACAGACAGGCATATACAGACATACAGACTATATCTATATGTATGTACAGAAAGGCATGCTACATAATCATACTTATAAATGCACGCATGCATGATCATAGCATGTACACACAAAGCTACATGTAGGCGAGCATGTGTGTACATTATGTATCTATATATCTACGATATGTGCATACATCGACCTGTCTCAGACTTATCTAGCTCCTACCCAAAGCCCTGAACCCTTCTTAATGCCTTTCCCACACAGGTCTGCTTCCACTGCATGCTGAAGACGTGGAAGCCCATCTCTCCTCAGGCTGCTTTGCTGGCTTGTCCACGTTGAAGTGAGTTTCTGTAGCCAGGGCACGTGTAGATTGCCACAAATCCATGTCCCCTAGATCTTTAATATATAGGTCCAAAGCTATATGTGTGTATATACATATATACCTGAGCATAGCTACGGCTGTTGGCAGGTCCGTGATGGCGTGGGCACGACGTGCTGCTGCTCAAGGCTACCGCACTCTGACCCCTTGCTCCCTGCACAGTGTTTGCATGTGCTGTGGACTTTGTGCTGCAGTGGATCTCGGAAAGTGTTCTGCATGTTGTTCTGCATACTGTTGATGCTCATCAGTGCCATGTAGCAAGAGCTTTGGAGACTGAATGAGTGCAATGGAAGCATCTCTGGATTCTTCACTGTTTGTGCGATTGGTTAATGTCGGTGCTCCGAAGGCTCTGGGCATTGCAACTACGTAGTGGGGGGTTGTCGTGATGAGTGAATTAATGTGCCATAATAGCCCCTGGGGTTCTATCCTATGAGACGAGGTTCTGATCGCAATAGTGCTCCTGATTTCCTGGAGCACCCAAATGCCAACAAAGAAATCTTTCGATTTTCTGGATCTCTTCGCTGGACAAGCCAATGCTTCTGCATATTGGTACCTAGACCTGCACTTGAAAGAATTGTTAGGCTGTCCGGTGTCAGTATAGGTCTCTAGTACGTCTCCTTAACCTACATAAGAAAGCCCCTCCGAATCCCAGGCGGTCCAAAGGCCACAGTGTGGCTACAATCGACTTGGAGCAAGGGTCCTGCATGGACTTCAATTCTGATGCCGGCTTCGCGCAGCAACCTCAGCCCAACAGTGCAGGGTTGCCATCGTCATAAAGGAGTAACACTTCATATGTATGAGTGTAAGGCTGGTCTTGTGGGTCATCATGCAGCAGACTGTGAACTCGGTCAATCTTATTGGACCATCATGTGGGTCTTGGGGCCTGCCTAACCGTGGAACCAGCATGCGCAATTTCATCAATTGGCGAGGGAATGAACAATATGCCTATGTAGCTGGGGCCAACCGTATGGTCAGCAGGTGCTTTAGCTGCAGTGAATTGGCTTTATTGCTTGTGTATGTTGCTGTAGACAAGTTCTAGCAGCTAAGGGTTTGCCTCGCCATACTGGTCATTACCGCGAAACATGCCACATGGATACTCGAGCATCCTATATGCAGCTTGATCAACCGCCACGACCGCTGGGAGTGGCTTTGCAATTCTGTGCTTCGGGTCACCTGACTGCACAGCAACCAACCCGCCCCAAAACGAACTCTCCCTGTCCCTCTCCCTCTCCCCTCTTTCTCTCCCTCTCTCCCCCCTCTCTCTCTCTCTCTCTCTGTCTCTGTCTCTGTCTCTGTCTCTGTCTCTCTCTCTCTCTCTGTCTCTGTCTCTCTCTCTCTCTCTCTCTCTCTCTCTCTCTCTCTCTCTCTCTCTTTCTCTCTCTCTCTCGCTCCCTATCTCTCTTTGTGTCTCTTTCTCGATCTAGCTCTCTCTCTTTTTCTCTCTGTCTCTGTCCCTCTCTCTCTCTCTCTCTCTCTCTCTCTCTGTCCCTCTCTCTGTCTTTATCCCTTTCACTCCCCAGCAGGAGCACATGACACGCATGTGCACATAAGCCTAGGCCTAAGTGTCTGTGTGTATTCAGGTAGACTGGTAGGCATGTGTAGAAAAGGTCGGTTTGTATGTCGGTGGGTGGGTAAATACTTATTTCTATATACAATATATTATATAGGTAGGTAGGTAGAATTTGAAATGTAGGTGGGTATTGAGGTTTCTGTATGTATCCTGAGGTGTTTCGGCAAAACTTTTGGGTGATGCATTGGGGTGGCAAAACCCCGAAGCGGACGATGATGTTCTCGAACTCCCCAGCGGTGAGAGAGCTGGATCGAGGGATATTGTCCAAAGCACAGCGTGAACGCTTGTCCAAGACCAAGACTGTACGACAGCTGGATGCATGAAAGGATGTGTTGTCTATATGGTACTAGAACTACTTATATGTATCATATATCAGTTTATGGGCTTGATGGCATCAATGTAAGGACGCTATACCAAAGAAGGCTGCTCCTATTTCGTGGGAACAAAAGACCTCCAACCTTCTGGGCTTCCTGGCATCTATATATATATATATATATATATATATATATATATATATATATATAGGTAGGTTCTATATAGTGACTCCATTATATACTATATATAGTATATAATGGAGTCACTATATAGAACCTACCTTATCCCGATATAAGCTTAAGCCCACAGCCCTTGAGGATTTATCCCCGCAAGCTGGTCAAGAAGCTCTACAGCTGCTTCGTGGAGCAACGGTCTGCAGCATCCAAGGTGTGCTTGAGGTCGAAGAACCAAGTGGACCCGCTCCTCACAGATAGACAGGTGTTTGAATCCATGCCGTTAGGAGATGTGTGGGAAGATGCTTCGGTTGCTTCAACTTACTTTTATCTCCGGAAGGGAAAGTATTTGATCATACCGGATAGCTGGCAAGCTGCGATCGATGAGTTCGACCGGGCCCTTCATGAACGAGTGGCTTCCCTAGCATATAATCTAAGCAAGATTGTGGCTACAGTACAATTACAATTGTATCCGCTTCATCACAGCCAAGGTGAACTGCTTCCCTGAACTGAGAGCTGAGTATGTGTCTCTATGTGGCTAGAGAACATGTAGACCTAGGCAGGGTCGTTGCAAGTTGCGAGGTAGTCTGCTGAAGTAGTCTGGTGGGATTTTAGGGAGCTGTGGGCCAAAGCATGTATGGGTGGCCAAGGGTGGATGCCCATGATGCTAGGAATGGAGGGGGATGCCCATGATGCTAGGAATGGAGGGGGATGCCCATGATGTTAGGAATGGAGGGGGATGCCTATGATGCTGGGAATGGACCTGTTGCCAAAGTGGTGCACTGCTCACCTTATTATGCATGGGATGTTGAGGGTGAGTCGATGGCATCATGAGCTTCAGGGTGCAATGGGGACACATGTTCATTTCGGGAACGCTCCCGAATGTTTTCGTACATCGCGCATGTTTTTTGAAATTAGTGGGCAGGGGTGGGCCCGGAATGGCCGCAACACGCGCGCAATTTCCCGCAACACGCGCGCAATTTCCCGCAACACGCGCGCAATTTAGAAATCCATTCGTTTTGCCTTTTTCCACGTATGTTTTTTAATCCTCACGTACGAAAACTGCCTCGCAACACCTGTGACCCCTGAGTTTGCCAGGCCTTCGACAGTGAAGGCTTGTCAGGAAAGAGCTTGTTTCTTTTCGAACTGGCAAAATGTGGGTTCTGCCTGTTGCTGCACCAGGCACCAGATTTGCAACACCTATGCACCATTTGTCTGATCTGACAACCTAAATCTCGCGAGACTCAAGAGGGTCGGCTGGGTGTGATGGTCAGTTTAGAAAGCTTGAACGAGGGTATTGCCATGGTGGCCAGATCCTGGACTGACATGTCAGGCTTGCAAGAATCCGAGCTTGATGCTGAAATCCTTGTGCTCTAGCGTGCATAAGCAACACGTAGCATTGGAAAATCATACATCGTTTAACTCGCTTCTGCTTCAGCTTGTTTCTTCCGCCTATCCCAGGCTGCACAGAAGCAGGTTGCAGATCTTCAAGATGCTTTGAGCAAAGTTGATGCGGAGCCTGTTCCAGTTCCGGCGATGGTACCAGGTGGGCTGTTTGGCATAGAGGGGATTACCCTAGCTAGAAGCAACATCGTACAATCCTAGAGAGCATGTCTTCCCTAGCAAACAAGAACAGGTGCACTTGTCAGTGTAACCCACACTTGCCACTTAGTGCTACCCTAGGCTACCAATGGCGTAGTGGTGTTTGCCCGAGTTTGGTGATCGCTAAAGCTGAACCCTCCAAACCCCTATAAGATCACAAATTCCGGACATATATGCACTCCGAAGAGGACATGTGTACGCATGTGTGTATGCATGTGCATAGTCGTCTGTACATATGCACTATGTAATAACAATATGTGTCTGTCATAACAATATACATGCATATGTATATGTATATATATATAATATAGGGTCGTCCTCCAGCTTGGTGCTGAACGGAACACCATGTAAGCAAACATCTCAACCCTACCAAACCCTAGGCTAGCAAACTCGTTGCCCCTTACAAAGCCTCAACTATATGATACTCTAATAAGAAACTCCTGGATGAAATGAAGCCACCCAATGATTCTACGAGGCAAACCATTATAAGATATGTTCCATATGTGGCTATATGATGCAGAACCAAATCGTGAGCCCACAGGTCTTCAAGATCCTCAATATGTAGTAAGCCCCTATAAACCCTAAGTTATATAGATAAGTATTTATACACCCACGCAAAAAATATCCTGGCCCTACATATAAGCTCTAGAAGAGACTGATCTCGTGAAGCCTCCAAACGAATCAGAACCACGTAGAAGTGCTCTATAGAGCCCAAGCCCTGGATGCGAGGTGCCCCGTCCATAGTGCTCCCTAGCAAACCTCTCTCAAGCACCGACCGAAACCCAAAGGGATTCTCAATGCCCATCCCCTGGGAAGCCATCGCCCACGGAAACTGTGAGAATGATTGCTCAGTCTTCAAAGCTAGCTGAAGCTTTGGAGTGTGCTGCGACCCCAAGCATGTTCCAGACAATCGATCTTGCAACCCCCAGCCCAGCAGCTCAGAAGAAGGCGCCAAAAGCGAAACCAGCTGCTAAAGCAAGCCCTGCAAGCCACTCCCTCGACCTGGTGAGCCCTGCAGACAGCAAGACTACCTCGCCTACAGCCAGCAAGGTGAAAACCCCGAGCCCACCAGTCGCGAGGCAGTTGTTGTTTCCTCCCGCCAGAAAGACAACTCCATCGCAAGCCTCCCAAGCCCCTAAACCAGAAGGTTATTGGAAGCTGCTTGCCGAAATCATGCTTTATGATACTGTTCCAATCGATACTGCCTAGAATACTTAGACTAGCTAAGGGTGTGGCGATATTGCAAGCCGAACTCCAAGGGTGAGGTCAAGGCTACACCAGAGATCCTTGAAATGGGGAAAACTTCAGATGGCCGAATCTCCTTCGCACCTATATATTTTCTGTTTGAACCTATCCTACTCATCGCCCCCGAACAAGCCACAGAAAGTCTGTATCAGGCTAAGAAACCTAGACAATACCTTGCATGCTGTATACCCTATATATATCCCCATGCAATAAACCCCCATGCAATATTGCAAGTCGTAGCTTGCAATGTAAACCACGTAAAGTGCTTCCTCCAGTTCCAAAAAGCCGCACACCCCTAAACACCCAAAAAGCCCCTAACGCCTACAACCCAGGAGAGAAGCTACGTCAGCTGTTGTTGCAGCATGGCAGCTTTGAGCAAGTCGAATGCCATCTCCAGCGATGGCATGAGCAGAAGAAGAAGAAAACGGCCCTTGGTGGACCGGTCACCAAAGAATGGCTAATGGAGACGGAGAAATGGTCAAAGTGTCTTTTACTGAATCAGATCTTCCGAGATGTTTAGACAAAGCTTCCGGTTCCTATGTGCATGAAATCTACTGAGGACCATGTGTGATAATGCGTGGGATTGGGCACGCGCCCGGGGCCTTGTCATCAAGAACCCTATTCATGGGGCCGAGGAAGCTGATATCCCTTACAAAAGCTTTTGGAAGAACACGGACGAAAGCGGTAACCGTGTTTCATTCGAGAGTCGGGTCGCCTTGGAAGTGTCTCTTTTGCAAGCCATGGATTGTTTCAAGCGTCTCTCTGTGTTCTGGCCATGTCTGTGTGTGTGTGATCAAATGCAATATATTGATTCAACTGAGGATCCGAACGGGGCTCTTCTCGACTCTACGAATCAGGATCTTGGTGTGACTGGGCAGGCCGCATCAAGCAGTGCAGGCATTACAGATGCTGAAGCTGCAGCCCAAGGGGGTGCATCGTTCAAGCTGCTTGCTATACATTTATATGCCCACTCAGCTTGGTGATTTGTGACTTAGCTAGAAATTGAGATTCGATCGTGACCGAATGATATGGATGCAAGGATCTGCTTCCCGAGCCTTCAGCAAAACACGTCGCCTTTGACGCTGCTCCCCCAATATCTTGCTGTTTTGGGGAAAAAGATCGACTCGGCAGAGACTGTGAAGGATGCTGCTTAAGCTGCTCACTGCATTCTAGCACATGCCTTCGGATGAGGTGTGTCGATGTGCTTACCTATACCCTGACAGGAGAGGCTCGACTCTGCCATGAGCAACGGTGGGAAAGGGGGCAAGCCAAATGAGAAGGTCAAGCTGCTGCTTGTCTATGTTGCCAGCTAGATGATATTACACACTGCTATATGTCGAATGCAAGCCATCTCAGGCTAGCTGAGAATGTGTCCCAGTCCCTGACCGATTTGAACCAGCACTACCAGGACCTGACAAACCTTCAGGCGAATGTCGCCACTGAAAGTAAGGCGGACGAGGTTCAGAGGCCAGCTGCTGATCATCATTGCATGTCCTGTGGCTTGTGCATTGTGTATCGTTGCTGCAGCTTATCGGGTCCCTGGGAGGCTTAAGAAGCAGGCTCTGCAAATCTTTATCAAGTGCACCAAGACAGATCTTTCCTTGAACAACTGGGTTACTCGAGCCAAGTGTCTTACTTGCAAGCATTTAGCTATATGTGGTTCTAGTGGTTGTGCTGTCATTCCACAGCTTTACCGAAACCAGCATCAGGAGCATCAAGGCAGGAGCCACTGCGAAGCCCAGTGCCAAAGCATCTACGAAGCGGACAGCGCCAAAGGCGAAGTCTGGAACCCCGGCCAAGCCGGCAAGCAAGAGGAGAAGGGAGAAGGGCGCCGCGTAGACCTGTAACCCTCACGAAAGGTGAGATGTTTTGAGGCTGCCGTTGTATGATCCAATGAGTCAGCTCTGCATTGCAATTCGTGCGATGCTGGTGAAGTGCCCCAGCTTTCGAGGGGATGTGTGTGAGCCGTGCACAAAGTGATGAGTCTGTGAGTCTGTGGCTCCTGCATGCAATGGTCGACAAGCTTTTTGTAGGTCGCTTTTGTGCTCATGCCACTCCCTCTCGCAGGCCTTGATGTTGAATGTGCAGACATCCAGATAGGCCTAGGCCTTACTTATTCTTATTCTACAGCTCACTTCATGAAGCCTTCACTACAACAAGTTCGGATTTGGTAAACATCAACTCAAGTGCTGTGCAAGGTCCTGGCACCAGCGATGGTGAGTCGTCCGAAGATGACTTGCTTGATGAGCTCCTCATGGGCTTGGCGTCTGGTGTCCCGAGTCATGCACTAAGTTAGGGTGGGGACAGCTTGTTGAATCCAACTTTGAATGTACTGAGGTCATAGTCTGGTGGTCTAGAGTCTAGGAGTCTGTATCTATGCCATGTATATGTACCCGAGGCTGACTCGGCGACCCGAATCTGTCGCCTTGCAAAGCTTTTCGATAGGAAACTGGCGAAGCGAGGCATGTCCCTTTCCCCATTAATGTGCATACTTGCAAACTCTCCCAAAATGTGGCAATCACTGAGCCCTGCAAGGAATGCGGGATCCGATGCTGAAAAAGCTTGCAAAATGTGCCCGAGCCAAAGATGAAGCCAATGTGTGCCGCAACCTACACCGGCTGTTAACACACAAAGAGTTTACACTTCAAGTTCATATCAGCTGGTGCGACATTGACATCAAGCACGCCACGAAGCGCAGGGAACTAAACAAGGTTCCATGGCCAGTCATTCGGCTGTCAAGCTGGGTGCGGTATATCTTGGAAATACAGGGAGGTCAACTTTTGTTGGCGGGCCACTCGACCATTCAGCCCGACTTATGGGAGCCTGTTCTGGAACGATTCTGGAACCTCTATGAAGGGGTAGACCCTGGTCACATTGTATACCAGCTGGGCTTAAACCGCCGACGAACCCTGCCTTTCATGGTTCACGGTGATGAAGGCCGTGGCAGGATGAAGCAACCTCTGTTGGTAGTGGCTTTTCAGGGTGTTTTGTCCCATCTCGGTATGGACCGACTCAACCAAAGTGGGTGGCTTTGTTTAATTTAAAATCTATACTGCAGATCAGGGATAGATGGTACTTGCAAGATCGACTAGGCCCGTGGCAGGATTGCATGTGTGCGTGACCAAGGCACTCATTCTGCTCCAGGTTACTTTATACCGTGATCCCTGGCCGATGCTACCGTGGAGACACTACGATCTTCCAGCTGCTGGAGGACCTATCCCAGGACTGTATGTCTCTTCTACATGATGGGATCGAGGTGGCTTGCTTGCAAGATTTTTTCTTTCTTGCTCTCAATCAATCGTTATAGTGTTCGGGAACAGCTTGAGGTTGTGAGTGGAACCCAGACCATGAAGTTCCACCTGGCCTGGCTCGGTTGTAAGGGGGACTGGGTGTGGCTACGAAAGGCATTTTGCCTTCAGACTGGCTTTACTTCTACAAGAATTTGCCACCTGTGTGAGCAAGAGGCTGGTACTACAGTTTGCCAACTTTTATATACAAATTCTCTTATTAATGGTTCATCAGTTATCTAGTAAGTATATATATTTACATATATATATATATATATGTGTATATGGGTGGGGTAGCCCTAGCTAAAGCCCTACTTTATAGATGCTGTTTGTGAGCTCTGTGCAATTCCATAACCTTTGTTAATGTAGAGCACCCTCCAATATGAACCTGTCGATTACACACCCCCGCGCTCCTGAAGGATTGGTACAACACAACCCCAAACTCGGCCATAAGAACCTGGACCCGTGACCTTCCTGCTGCACCACCTTGGAAAGCTTCCCGGAGCCCATTGCGAGACATTCCTGGTGGGGATGATCCCTGGTACTGCCGAACGGACCCAGCACACACTTTCGCTATTCAAGGGGTTGGGTCAGGAATGGCATCTTCGAGCATTATCTTGCTGACCCGCATGAAAGTCCTACCAGGAACGATCCCAGAAATCTTAGACAAGCTCTACCGAAGTTTCGTTCGGTGGCTACAAGCCAATGGCAAGACGAGCAGCATTGAGACCTTCACTCTGCTGAAGTTCAAGATGAAGTCGTTGTCCGCCTCATGTTTCTGCAGCTTTGTATTGGTTTATATGGGGTTAGCATATATGTGCATATTCATATCGGCCTCATTGGTTTCCTCAGGCTACGAAGCTGGCCATCCGGAACTGGCAAAGGATTCGACACCATTCTACTTTGCTGTTGGCTGGAGGACTTCCTCTCTGTTGATAATGGAGCTGAAAGAGTGGAACCATAATTGCACATCAAATTCTTGATACATGTGCAGTTTTGCTTTGTCTTATTCCGAAACCGAAGCATATCTAGAGAATTAATATAAGGAAGCTGGCGATCGAGATTTGTACCAGCTTCTGCAATGGACGATGTCGAACACAAACGCTTTCTTTCGTGGGTTGCACCAGTACGGTGTCTGGATGCCTTGGAATGTTGCTAAGCGCCTGGTTGCCCATGGGTGGCACATGACAGTGCCTTACTTGGGTCTTGGAAAGCTGTCTGTGTGTTATTAAACTAATATTTCCTGATTTGAAACAGCTTGTCCTGCACAAACGCTTGGCTGAGGAGGGTCTGGGGGCCCTCGCCTCTGAGTCAGCTGCCCGGAAGTGGCCTCTCTACAAGTTCAAACCGAAGGTGCACATGCAGATGCACCTTACGATGCTTGTCCAGTTGTCAGTATACCATGCATGGTCTAGGAAGATGATTTCAATCCTGCTGCCAAATCCAACTTAGGAGGGACATCGAAGTCCAGGTGGAGATGAATCTGCCTTTCATCTTCAATCCCATGTGCCCTTTGTCTGCATGTCTAATATCGCATAGGCCGTCCTGAAACGGTTTCCACTGAAAACATTCTAGAATCCTAGAAGACTACAAATTCCTTCGATCCTATCCCAAGGTATGTGCTGCTGGATGGACGAAGATTTTATTGGAAGATGCTCTCGGATTTCCAGAAGACAATCGAATGCTACTGTAGCAATACGCACTATGCGTGTTTGTCTACTTTTGTACCAGAAACAATGGGCACGCGAGTTCGGTTGAGGCGCCAAAAAAGCTCGGTCCCGGGCGGAACATCCATCGTTGCATTGTCGAAGCCAAATCGACCGTGGCAGATGAGAGAGGGATGATGGTGGGGTTTATTCTGATTCCTTTAAATTGCTTCAGAAGTCATCTTCACATAGGGCTTCTTGAACGAGAAGACTATGCACGCATGTTTATTTTCACCACGTGTGGAAATCCCAGAAACCCATCATCACGTATGGAAATTCTGAAGCGCGGAAATAAACATATGAAAGGATGGTCTAGGAAATGTCAAAAACAATGTCCCTGAATTCATCGGACACATCCGTGACCGTGTCCGGCTATTATAATCTTTCTCAGATCTGTACATTGACCTGACATTCCTTCGACCGCGGATTGTTCGCTGTACATATATTATATCCGTGGTCAATTCTTGTGGTGGCGGCAAGCTGATCACTTTCGTTCTTGATAAATGAAATCAACGTCCACCAGCCAACCTCAGGGCCCAGCCCTCGACTTCGGATCGAAACTGGCTTAGTCTTTCTAACTGTGCCTGACAAACACGTTGATCGATGTCGTTGTCTTGCTGATACTCGTCCAAAACCAAGTACGCTGCACCCAAGCCTGCCTCCACGAGGTCCCCTTTGCTTCCGTCATTGAGGCCTTTTACGTAGTCGGACAGGTTTCCGTACATGTTGTCAAGTACCCTGGAATACCAGTAGTTGCCCACGTCTGCATAGCGAGTTCCATCCGCGCCGATGAATGCGTCTGATCCGTGGCTTATGTTGCAAAACTTCTTTCGGACTGCTCCCATGCTTGCCAGGACCTTCCTTTCCTTCTTGTTAAACTTCTCCATCCACACATCTAGAAAGCTTCCGTCCCCTGCCACACCGATATTACGTGCCCACCATTCGGCAGCCTCCAGCTGGGTCTTTCTCTCCTTGTCCCGCTTCACTTCGATCGGACGCTGCAGTGGTAGCACTGGTGGGCCATGTCCATGACTTCCTGGTCCGTTTCTTGTGTGGGTGGTGTCCTCCGGCTGGTCGTTGTCCTCGTGCTGGTTCTGCTCGTGCACCGACAAGCGCTTCGCCAGCTCCACCTGGCCTTGCCCAAGACACTGAATGTCCTCCCAAATAATGAGTTTGTCGTAATGGAGCTCCTTCAAATCGATTTCATGGTTCTTCTTCGCGTTCTCTGTATCCAGCTGCAGCTTTCCAAGGACGTCCGTGATCTCCTTTAAGCGCTCATTTGTCTGCTGCATCCACTTCTCCATGCCCTGCAGTCGTTCTCTCAGAGCTGCTGCTTCAATTCGTTGTTGAAACAATTCCTCCTCCTCCTCCCTTGCCTCCGCCTCGGCCTTGGCCTTTCTCTTTCTTTGCTTTTTGGCGGCGATCTCGTCGAGGTCGTCCTGGTGCTTCCTGTACATGAACATGCCCACGAACATCAGAACCACCAAAATTAGGAATTCCACGAAGGTCACCATCACTAGGGGCGGGAGCTGCGTGGTCAAAGCTGCTACACTTGCTTGACTTGTCACAATCTTGCGTTACACAGACACAGGTTCAGATTCTGATCACGCAGACCACCACAATCTCTGATTATGCTCCGAGGCCATGACCTTCCGCTTTGAGGATCATCTTCGACTAAATGTCCTGCCAGACATGCTTGACACGTTTGCCCACCTGCCTAACTACAGCAGGCTGAGTTCCCGACACCCCTGTTCGGTGTCCAAGCTCCCCCCTGTTCGAGGTTCGGATTCCTGTGCGGGGGTAGCAGGACTGCCTGAATCTTTGCCTCCTGACTTCCTAGTTGCCTTGCTGTCAACGAGTCTTAGGAAGTGCCACTTCCTGGCCTGCGGTCAGCATGTCGTGCTGGAGCTTGTGTTTGCTGGGAATATACGTAGGTGCCACCTCATTGATCGTGTTTGAGACATGAAGAGTTTGCGCGAAGTTCGCTGTTTCAGAAGTTGCTCTAACCAGCACTCTTTTTGACCTTGCCATTCTGTTTCCTGGCTCAGTTCTTGTGTCGCGCATTTTCCTTTGTTTGGAATGATGTTTTTAAGAAGCACGAAGTTTACGAAGTGCCACTTCCCATCCTCCAGTCAGCATGTTGTCGTGCTCGTCGGTCGTGCTGGCCGGTCGCTAGGAATACGTAGGCATTTCGTGTCAGAAACAGTACCACCGAGTTTAAAGCGTTCCACTGCCCTGCCTCCAGTCAGCATGTTGTCGTGCTTGTCCGTCGCGAGGAATACGTAGGCCTTTCGTGTTAGAGACATGTGACCGGCGAGTTTAGTTTAAGAAGTGCAGCTACCCAGAGCATGTCAAACTTCACATGACCGACATTTTGCACGAAACGGACAGACAGTCTGATCTTGAAGCTGACGTGCAGTCAGTACATAACAAGTGAAACCTCTGTCCAGGGACACATCCGTGGAAATAATCTGTGCCTTCAGAGCTGGTGTCTGTGTGAAAGCACTCTGAAACCGGACAAGTGGAACCTCTGTCCAGGGACACATCTGTGACATTGTCCATCCCACGCCTACTAAAGTATAAATTTATTATTATGACACTCCATGTCCTTATAAAGACTGTCCCTGAATCCGTTGTCGCTCATCCGTGACAGTTTCCTCTACTTCTTTAGGTGAACTTCTCAGATCTATGTAACGGCAGTAATACATACCAGTCACTGCGGCAACACCACTCACCGGAGGCCTGTCACGGCCGGTCTGTAGATCAGGCAGCCGCCCAGGTCTAATGCTTCGTTGCTTCCTAAATCCATCACCGCGCGACCTCGAATCAGACCGTTGGTCCGCAGCAGCGATAATTTCTGAGAAAACGGCCCACGAGCAGAATAAAGTCTTCCCAATGATAGCCCGGGTACGGTTGCTGGGCCAGGAATCATATCCTTCCAGTCGCAGGTCCTGTCGTGATCACAATAACCATACTGACCAGCATGCCTATGTCGACACGAAAGTATTTGCATGCCGACACAAAGCAATTCAAGCGATCCTCAATGTCACG